GCAGGGTGCAGCTGTACAGTGGGTGCTCCCAGGTGTGGGGTGCCTTTATTCTAATGTGGACTTCGAGGACGACAGGTTGCTGACCTGACTTCTTTTTCTGTTGTGGCTTTCATAAAACCTTGGGGCCATATATTCCAGTTTGCCCTCGTATTTAAAATTTTTATTTTATAATTTGAGTTTAATATTTTTAATTATGTTTTGAAAATATGAGGGAATGGGGTGAAATTCTCTGAAGAAGCCAAGGTAATTCTTTCCATAAAGCAATGCTGTTTATAAATAATGAGAATCTAAACACCCGTGGGTCCCCATTAGGTAAACATGGGTGCTGGCAGTTCCATTGTGTCCCACTGATCTCCTTATGCCACAGGCACGATGACAGTCCTTGTCTCTTATTACTGCTCACAATTTTACCATGTATTTCTTAAAAATCTTTTTGCTTAGTTGTATGACTTTTGAGTTTTCCATAACTTATTTTTATCATTAGTATTCCATTAAGATGATTTTAAAGGTTCCTTTTCTTTTTGAACCGTCTCTCTGCCTCTGTGTGCTGAGCACATGCTGCCGTGCCACTCTCTGGGCATTGATTCACTCATTGTTCTGCTGTATGGAAATAGAATTGTTAAAGTTTGTCTTTTGATGATGTTGACAGTGTCATTTTTATTTGTTTCCAGACATTAATGTTTCATGAATATTTTACACATTGGGAAAAAAAATAGTAAAAAAACAGCATAAATTCAGATTTACTAGTAAATGTCAGTGAGATGTGTCAGCCACGTGGGCATTCATGCATGCGTGTTTGTTCCTTATGAAGATTTACCCTTCCTTTTTTGATGTCATTTTACTTTTTTTTTTTTTAGTACCAGCAGCTCAGGAAGCGATGCAGGAAGATCAAGAGTTCAAAGCCAGCCTCAGCAAAAGTGAGGTGCTACGCAACTCAGTAACTGAGTGTATGAGTTCAATCCCTGGTACTAAAAAAAATAAGTAAAATGACATCTTGGAGTAGAGGCTTAGGGGAAGACTGGTTGTCCTAGGGCTGTGGGGCATCTCCTTTTCTCCATAACATCTACAAGTGTAACCCATTGGGATGTGAATATTTCCCCATAACCTCCATTTCATGGAGATTTTTGTGGCCTACAAATTGGATCATGGTGTTGAGGGGTGAGTACAGAATTCATTCTCTCTGCATTTACTCCAAGTAGTAAATGCGAGGAGAGAATCCGAATGTTCAAGGAAAACCCACACCCCTCAGGTATACAAGAGTCTCCTGTGTACTTCAGCGAGGAAGAATAGGGGTGGGAGAAGGTCCAAGGTGTCAGGATGTCTTGACTTTAACCTTGGGTCTGACCTGTTTTTCAGTCATCTCTGTTCTTCCCGAGCTCATCACCTCGAAAAGATTTCTTTACTTACTTCAGCTTCAACTATTCCCTAACTGTAAAATGTATTTTATTAGTAGAGCTTCAAACATAAGAAACTTCAGCCGAAGCTACAGGACAGAGTTGGATTTTAGAAAAGGAAGTCAGCCTTACATTACTTTGTTTAAATGTTTTATTCGCCTATCTTTTTGTCTAGAGTGTTCTTTGTGAGTTTCTCATGTGCTATGGTTTTGTTGTTGTTGTTGTTATTGTTTGTTTGTTTGTTTTTGTTTTTGTTTTTTTGAGAGGATGGAACCCAGAGCCTTGTGCTTGCAAGGCAAACCCTCTATCCACTGGGCTACATCCCCCACCAGGTGCTTTGTATTTTAGGAAGTGATTTCAATTGAAATTTCAGGGATTAGCTTTGGAAATTCTACCAGAAATAATAAATAGGGAAAATCTCTTTCATTACAGCTAAGGAAAAATGAGTGCAGTTTTTCAAAATTGAGTGGTAGCTGCATAGGTAAATTTCAGATTTACCAAGTCATCCATCAGCTCCTCGCCCATTAAAGGCCTGTGATAGTCAATAAGTCATACATCTTATCATCTGGATACTGGATTTTTAAAATATTTATGTTTTAGTTGTAGTTGGACACAATACCTTTATTTTATTTATTTATTTTTATGTGATGCTGAGGATCAAATCCAGGGCCTCACATGTGCTAAGTGAGCGCTCTACCGCTGAGCCCCAGCCCCAGCCCTGGATATTGGAGTTGAATAGTAAATCATATGAGATAATGTTAGACAAATCCTAGAATCATTCACATGATTTATGTTTTAATAAATGATTTGTTATTGCATAGATAGCAACCAAATAGTACATTTATTCTCTGAAAAAGATACATGCTCTTGCTTTTCCTCTTGAGGTATGTATGTCAGTGTTTTGCACATTTATTGCCTCCTGTGGACATAAACACTGAGTTTGGCCAGTCAAGTGGGCGGTGCATGCCTGGGATGCCAGCTACTGAGGAGGCTAATGAAGGAGCATTGTACATTTGAGATCAGCCTTGGCAGCTTAGGGAGATAATGTCCCAAAATAAAAAATGAAAAAGGCTATGGGTGTTGCTAGTAGTAAATCTGCAAATACACCCTGGATTCAATCCTTACTACATAACAAAATCCCACTGAATGTGAGTAATTTTACCAATTAAATAGTAGGTCCTTTCTCATTTAAAACTAAATGAATAAAATTGGGAAGCAGAGGGGTCTGAGCTCAGTGAGACTTCTAGTTAATTTAATCTTGAGGTCTTTGGGACCCATGTGTTTTGTTTCTTGAGACCCATATTTTCCAGATATGGGTTTGAATTGTAGGCAGTCATTCCTGAGAAGGAAGTCTAGAGAAGAAAGAGGAAGATGTGATTGGTTGCCACTTTGCTTCCTTTTCCTCTCAGAATAGTCAGCTTTAACTCTAAAATATGTATGCCCAGATATACCCCCTATACCAGGGGCCTTCTATTCTCACACGTCACCTAAGCCAGGCCAGGCGTACATGACACACAGAATTCAAAAGGTTTTCTTTTTGACAAATGAACATCGGAAAGTCTTGATATCCTAGATTTCCACTGGGGATGTTTTTGGGTCATTAGATATTTCTGAAGAAGTGAATCATGCTTTCTTTATTTTCCATCTGGATGGTCCAACATTGATAAATACATAAGAGTCAATAAAATGTACATTTGTTGCCCCTAAGAACTTATTAAGTCCTAGAAGAAGAGAATGATTAGAAGAGATGATGATTAGTCTCTAGAATGCCATGGAAAGTCTTCTGAAGTTACCTATTATATTATGTTGTTTTGATTTATACCACAGCAGTGATGTGTCTTTTTATGTCAGTTGACATGTTGTACCAATTTGTTCTGTTACAGCTGTTTTATCCTTATTGGCTTGGTAGGAATGCTGCCTGCCAGGTTTTCCCTATAAAGTTAGTTTTTCTCTTTCTCTTATAGGCATCTTGGTAGAATTTTTCTAAATAATCTACATAAACCATCATATTTAATGTTAGTGTTTTTCTTTGTGTCTTGCTTTGGGGAATGCAACTCTGCCTTTGGTCTGCCACAGACGTTCCTTTATTCCTGGAGCTGCTGAAGCTGACCAACTGGAGGTTTCAGTTCATCCCACCTGCAGCTCACAGACATAACCTCATAACCTCCTTGCATTTCCCATGAAAGAAACAAAACTCGTATGTTTCCAAAGGTCTGAAAATTTATAGTGTACCTCAAAATAAGTTTGGAATAACAGGAAAAGTGAAGAGTGTCAAAGACTCAGTCACTGTAGCCCTTACTCTGTACTCAAGTGTGTGTATCACAACAGTGTCTTTTAAAGTAGCATTCATCCCAAATTGATTTATAAATTTTACAATACGGAATATAGGACTTATTTTCATTTGCATGAGAAATTGTTGTTTCAGTGTATAGAGTTGACACTTCTATGTGTGTATAGGTGAAACACAAATATCGTTTAATCAATTTGATCTTGTTTCTTTGCATTTTTTAAAATATTTTTAGTTGTATTTGGACACAATACCTTTTTTTAAAAATTTTATTTGGTATTGAGGATCGAACCCAGGGCCTTGCACATGCTAGGTGAGCGCTCTACCACTGAGCCATAACCCCAGCCCCAATGGACACAATATCTTTATTTTGTTTATCTAGTTTTACGTAGTGCTGGGTTCGAACCCAGGGCCTCACACATGCTAGGCAAGTGCTCTACCACTGAGCTACAACAGCAGCCCCTAGTCTTCTCATTTTTAATCACTGCCCTTCTCTGGAAACATTCTTCTAATATTCACACTTTAAATTGACTTTAATACTGCATTTTCTTCTGAATTACAAGTCAAATAAACTTGGGTGAAAATAAGGCTCTAACATTTACTAGTTGTTTCACCAAATGTCTTAAAAGATGAACACTGTTATTGCTATCACATTCTTTTAGTTTTATGCATTAAGACATGAAAAACTCTTACATAGTGAAAAGTATATATTTGAAGTGGTTGAAAAGGATTGTTGTTGATAGTTGCTATTTTAATAAAAGTACATAAATTCATTAAAATATTTGAACTCAGATGTAGCAATGATTTTTCCTACAGTGGTCTACCTCATTGCTCTTCAGAAGTTTCTCTTGGAGCCCTGGCACTACTAGATTGGAATCACTCCTGCATATTGAAGAAACCAGGACCTATCTCAGAACTAGTGGATCAGAGTCTGCATTTTAGTAAATCTGTAATTCATGGCTTTGCATTTAAAATTTAAGAATCACCCTTCTTACCATAAGAAATACCTCATCTGAGAAGTAGACAATTTATCTTATAAAATATAAAATTGCGATTAAAATGTATATTCTTGTGTTAATGCCTTAATTTCACATTTCATAAAAGTGGAGTTTATATACTTTTTTTTGGACATGATACTTTCCTCAGAGTCAGATAATAGAAAATATCACTATGTTAAAAAGTATTTTCCTAAATAATTAAAGTCAGTCCCCTATTTGACAGCCAGGTCTGCTAACTCTCATTTCAACTTCAGTCAACTGAAACACTCTGTAGATGATCAAATGGTCTATGTGCTATTAATTTACCTATTCTTGTTTCAGGAACTGTTGACATTCAGGGACGTGGCCATTGATTTCTCTGAAGAGGAATGGGAATGCCTGGAGCCTGCTCAGCGGAATTTATACAGAGATGTGATGCTAGAGACCTACAAAAACCTGGTCTTCTTGGGTGAGCAGAGCTTCCCTTCAGAGTTCCTAATTAATCAGAATTCCTAATAGTATAATTTTCTTCCTGTGCAGAATATCTTTTGGGAATTTCTACACTGCATGAATGAGTTTCAGATGTTTTGCTTTCAAGAAAATGTCATGGGCAGTTTTTGTTAAAGAGAAGAAAATGTTACTGTCATTTTTTTAGTTCTTAATCTTTCCCTTTCTTGAAGTGATATATGCCCTTCACTTTAGATTAGTGGTGCTGTAATTCAGTGATACAGAATGACAGGACCTACACATCAAAGTTCAATTTCTTTCCTTTATAGTACCAGAATAAAAGTATCAGTGGTCACAGTGATAACTTCAAGAAATAGTCATTTCATTTTCCAATAAGCACATGGTCTCTAAGCTGTGTTTGGGCACCTTCCTCTGAAGCAAAGGAAAGAGTCCTGAGCCATGTACCCAGGTAGGTAGAAATTCATGAAGCAGAGGACACAGTTGAGAGGTCCAAAGCTCAAGGAGGAATCCAAACTTCCAAATGTTGATGGAGAGGTTATCATGCCACAGAAATGGTTTCCCAGGAGCTTAGATTTGTTCTCTTTCTATCCTGCAAGGACAGGTACTGCCCTGTGTTTAGCATGCTTTCAACCTCTTCAGTCTCCTGCTTCTACTGTACTGATGTCACAATGTTTTAAGATTAACAGCTCAAACACTCCCCTTTGCTTGTGAGGGTCATCGTGATCTGACAGCATTTCCATTATTTGGGGCATTTCTTGGAAACCTATGCACATTTCTGGAAAGCTCTGGGTGAAGTCTTTGTAGTATCATAAAGAAGTTTCTCTAATGTCACTTATATGTTTATTCATTGAAATTCTCTGCTGGGTACAGTGGCACACACTCAGGAGGCTGAGATAGGTGTATCGCGAGTTCAAAGCCAGCCTCAGCCATGGTGAGGAACTAAGCAACTCAGTGAGACTCTGACTCTAATTAAAATACATAATAGGACTGGAGATGTGGCTCAGTGGTAAAGTGCCCCCAAGTTCAAAGAGAGGGCAGGAGGGAAGGAAGGAAGAAAATACTGGATTTTCTGTGGAATTTTTCTATCATATGAATGTCAGTGATTCACAGTGAATGCTCATTTTGGGTATATATGGTCATAGGTGAAAATTACAGTTATATAAAAGGATTTGTAAAATAGTACATCCATGGTTATTCAGAATTTTGTTGTTTAAATTTCCATTTTCGGGGCTGGAGATGTGGCTCAAGCAGTAGCGCGCTCGCCTGGCAAGTGCGGCCTGGGTTCGATCCTCAGCACCACATACAAAAATGTTGTGTCCGCCGAGAACTAAAAAATAAATAAATATTTAAAAAAAAAAAAAAAAGAATGAAAGATTCTTTAAAAATAAATAAATAAATAAATAAATTTCCATTTTCATTTGCCTTTTCTCTGTTTCATTTTATAGGGTAGATTTAATGTTGTAGTGTAGATTTCCTCACATGAGTTAATGGTGTTTTTATTTTTTCCTACATTTTATGATTCAATTGCAATTTCTAATATTTCACAATTAGCACAATGTAAAATGAAATTAAGACACTCCTGACCCTTTTTTCCACTGCCAATAAAATTATATTTGATATTTCTTTAATTTTATTTTTTAATACTTTTTTTGAACTTATAGATGGATACAATACCTTTATTTCATTTATTTATCTTTAGTGGTGCTGAGGATTGAACCCAGGGCCTCGCTTTCTAGGCAAGTGCTCTCGCATTATAGGCAAGCGCTCTAAGCATTCTCAAGCGTTCACTGAGCTACAACCCCAGGCTCAATTTTATTTTTTGTCTTTGTTTCTATTGCCAATAAAATTACATTTGATATAAAATATATCTCGTAAGTTTTTGTCTTAAAGTATGTTTTCCATGTGATGGTTATTGCCACACCAGTTCCAGTCAGTTTTGTGTGTACTATTCTTATATACTTTTGCCTCCACATTGCATCCTTAGATTTAGAGTCTCCAGTAGACTACATGAAACTGTATTTTTTTATGTTTCCTTTGCTTCTTGTTATTCTTTTTCTTTCCTATTGCTTTAACTTGTGATTCATTAACTGCTATAGTAACATTCTTTGATTCCTCTTTCACTTTCCTTTATTTTGTGTGTATTTGTTTTGTCATTTACTTTGGGATTTTTATAAGAATCATTTTAAGCTTACACTACATTTTAATCTGGCAACAAATTAACTTGAGTTTCATAATAAAATTCAGCATATTTATATATCCTTTGAAAATGGTTATTGATGGCACAGTTATTTCCATCATTCTGTCCATTCACCCCTTTCACAGTGTTCCCTAGCTCCTTTCTGAATTTCAGCCTTCTACTAAGAAATTGACTAATTATCACACTCAAGTACCTTTCTCATTGGCACATCTTTTACTCTTGATGCTGTCAAGATTCTTTGTGAATATTGAAAAATTGAGTAAAATGTGCTTCGAGTCTTTAGTGTTTTTCCTACTTGGAAGGTAATTGAGCTTCTTGATCTTGTTTAGATATGGTTTTTTGCTCCTATTTATACTATTATCAGATTATTTTTATTGATACTAGAGATTCAACTCAGTTGCTTTTCCACTGCCTTTTTCTTCAGGCCTTTTATTTTATTTATTTATTTTTTTTTAATGGTATCTTACTAAATTGCTGCACGGCTTCAAACTGTGATCCTCCTTACTCAGCCTCCCACATTACTAAGATTACAGCTGTGCACAAACATCCCTGACTCTCTCAGACAGTATTTTTGAAGAAATTCTTCAATTACACAACTTTTGTATGTTTCAACTAATGATTTTGTCTGAATTTTATTCAATTTTCTGTGTTCTGGATTAGTTAACTTATTTCAAATGTTTTTTTAGGTTCTTTGGGTAATTTGTAACTCTTATTTTCCTAATTGTGAATTTCTAGTGTTTTGTTCCTTTTATTAAACCAAGTGTCCGTTTTTCTTTTTGTACTGTATTACTTTTTATTCACCCATTTAAAAACCAGCCAATAGTAGTAATTTTAGAAAACAATATAGAAGTTAGTAAAGAATTGAAGAATAGGGAAGCACAGTGCTACATACTTTTAACCCAGGTAATAGGAAGGATGTGCAAGAGGATTTTATGTTTGAGGCATGTCCCATGATATCTCAAACAATTTAATTTTGAAGTGGCTTGTGTTTAACTCAGTGGTACAACACCCTTGGGTTTGATCTTAAGCATTACACAAAAAAATTAAAAATACAATGCATGATCCAGAAATGCAAGCTTTAAATGGTTATCCAGAGGATATTAAATCTGCATGTTGAATATCTGTGTTATTCTCATGCAAAATCTGTTACATCCAGGTCTCTGTCATGGTACATAGAAGATAGTTTAAGTGGGTGGATTTTCCTAATTGTACAACGGTGTATTCTCAAGGAGGATGACTTATAGAGTATATTACTCTCCTAATGATGTACTCATCTTGAATATTGTGAACTCTCAGATGGTTTGGCTAATTCTCAGAAAGTAATTTCGTCTGTCCATTGTTATTTAGCTCATATATTTATGGAGTATTGATGGTCTTTGATGTACTATTCTGCCACCCTGCTGATATTCTGACTGCAATAATTTTATGTTATATTTGCAAAGTATATTTTCAGTCTAATATGTAAAAATTTTATTTATTTCAGTCATGACTTCTCATCATACCCAGGAAATTTCACCAGAGCCTGGCATAGAACATTTATTTATAAAAGTGATAAACAGAATATATGGAAATTGTGATCTTGGCTTTTTACAACAAAAGAAAGTACAGGACATTGCAGTTGAGAGTGAAGGTCAGAAATCATATTATGATGAACAAGACCAATTTGTAGTGACTGCACCTAATGAAAATTTTACTGTCAACACACCTGAAGAACATTTAGTGCCTCAGAAAAGTATTCAATGCATAACTGAAGGACAAGTTTCTAAAAGTGATCATTTTGAAAGTTTCTTTACAAATTATCCATTATTCTGTGATGAACAAAGAATTCTTTCTTGTTCCCAAACATACACTTTTAATGATTGTGGGAAGGCCCCTATGTACTCCATACTGCTTAATGAAAATTCAAATATAGATTACTGGAAAGTGTGTAACACATGTAATGAAACAAGCAACACCTTCAGCCAGGTCTCTACCCTAAGCAACCAGCATACTTATGTTGGAGAAAACAATTACGAATGTAGCAAAACACAGGAGAACTCTAGCTCTGGTTGCAATATAAGAGAACATCAGTGTGCTCATTGTGCACAGAACCTTTACAGAGATGACGAATGTGGGAACGTCTTTCCTCAGTGCTCAAAGCTGATGACCCATTCAAGTACTCAGGGCCAAGAGGCGCCTTGCAAATGTGAGGAATGTGAGAGAGCTTCTAACCCAGCTGCTAGCCTTCCTCAATACAGTGGAGCTCATCCTGGAAGGGAGCCCCCTAAATTTAAGGAATGTGTCCAAGCATGGAGTTGCTCACCCCTTTCTAAACACCATAGGTACCATAGCAGTGATCAACATTACAAATTCAAAGAATGTGGCAAAACTTTTAATCGAGGACCTCCCCCTGTTAAGCACCACAGAACTCATAGTGGAGAGAAACCCTACAAATGTGAAGAATGTGGCAAATCCTTTAAAAAATGCTCAAACTTTTCTAAACACCTGAGATTGCATAGCAGTAAGGAAACCTACAAATGTAAAGAATGTGACAAAGTTTTTAAGAATTTTTCAACCCTTACACAACACAAAAGAATTCATACAGGAGAGAAGTCCCACAAATGTGAAGAATGTGGCAAAAGTCTAAATCGAAAAGCATACCTTACTCAACACCAGAGAATTCATACTGGAGAGAAGCCCTATAAATGTGAAGAATGTGGAAAAGATTTTAATCAAAGCTCAAATCTTAATAAACACCAGAGAATTCATACTGGAGAAAAGCCCTACAAATGTGAAGAGTGTGGCAAAGGGTTTAATCGAAGATCACACCTTACTCAGCACCTGAGGCTTCATACTGGAGAGAAACCGTATAAATGTCACGAATGTGGCAAACATTTTACCCAAAGAGGGTACCTTACTGAACACCAGAGAATTCATACAGGAGAGAAGCCCTACAAATGTGAAGAATGTGGCAAAGGTTTTACTCGAAAGGCACACCTTACTCGACACAAGAGAATTCACTCTGGAGAGAAAGAAAGTCCCAGTGATAGCATCCCAGAACACCTGCTGTCTTTCCTGAACATGCTACGAGGACCTAGAGAACTGGATTGCAATACGCTTCCATAGCAGCTAACCCCACTCGACCACCTTCCAATGTTGTGCAGCTTTGTAGGAATACTGACTGGAACTGAGGAGAGATTTTTTTTTTTTTTGTCTTTTTTTAAATTTCTTTCTTCCTGTCCATCTAACTTTCTTTTTGTCAGGTTTTCTTAGTCTCTTTTTTTACCTTTTTAACTCCTTTCCATCTCTTTCCCTTTTCCAGTGTCTGTATATTTTTCTTCTTTGGAAATTTATGTCCTTTTGATGAAGGCAGAAAATTATGCATCTCCCTAGCCATCCTGCATGATTCTGTGTGCCCTTGAATAGTGTGTTCCTGTCACCTCCCTGCTCATTTATCGTCCACAACAAGTTGATACGCCAGGTTGAGAGTTCACCTATATCTACTGCTTCCCTAATGAAGTAGGAAAAATGGCGGGCTTCAAGAGTCTGGTAAGTATTTCCTGTTTATACTTTTTTTCGTGGCCAGACCCAGTCTCACCATCTCTGGATTAAACAGAACAAGAGCTGGAATTGTCCACAGTACAAGGAAACTCTTATTTTTATGCAGTTTCTTTTCTACCTGAGGAACTTTCTGCAGCTATGCCTTCCTTGTGTTCAGGAAAACTTGTGAACTGTGGGACCCGATGCAACCCCAGCTGAGACTTGGAAATCTTCATCAACACAGGAAAAAAAGAACACGACGCTACAGTCACCAAGAAGAGAACAGTTTTAGCTTACATTCACAGTTTTTACTTCTACTACTGATGCTGGTTATTTGCCAAAGAAAAGAATTCTTTTGGCCTTAAACCCTGCAGAATAATTTCCTTTAGGACAAAATACTACCATTCTCTGTCAGATTTCCAGTAGGTATAGAACCTTCCCAAGCCTAATATTGAAGCTGGATAATTGAAATGTGGATAGTGGTTCTCTCTGAGCCAATAAAAGCACATGACAAGCCAGACATGGTGGCACATGCCTGTAATCCCAGCAACTTGGAAGGCGTAGGTAAGGAGGATTGTGAGTTCCAAGGCCAGGAGGGGAAAAAAAAAAAAACATGAGGAGGGCTGGGCTGCAGCTCAGGTTCTAAAGTCTGGCATTAGAAAACAAAAAATTTAAACACCTTTCTCTAGCCTCAAAGGACAAAAAGGAGGAGGAGGAGGAGACTAGAAAATACTTGGCATAGTGTCAGACCTAAGCTGGCACTGAACTAAACACATGAAAACTGAACACAGAGGGCTGTGTTTTCTTGGTTCACCTGTAGAACTAAAACAGATTCCCCACCAGGCCCAACTCTTAGCCTTAGCCTTCTGCAAAGGGCTCCGAGGAGCTTTCTGTCCCCACTGATTTGCAGATGTGGTCTTTAGCAGATCCCAGAAGGAACTCAAGAGGAAAGAGAAATCACTCCCTGGGAGCATGAGCTTTAAGTCCATGGCAACCTGGGGTGCACCTCATTGTTTGAGAAAGAAAAGTGGTGCAGGACCAATCACACACACACATGAGATAAGAAGTCCCACAGAGAGGGACAGCAGCCACAACTCCCCCTTGGATGCTACCTTTTTATAGGCTAGAATCGTGGTCATGTGCTAGGGGCAAGTTTAGTCTTGACTGACATAGCAAAGCGGGAACAGGGAAACTGGTACGTCCCTTTATCTTCTCAAGGAGAGAACAGGGAAACCGGTACGTCCCTATCTGAGGGGCAGGTAAGTTGTCTCCTATCCCTCAGGGAGAGACCAGCATGTCTCCAAGCTGGTAGGTTTTATCTCAGGCTACTTTCTATTTCTTGGGAATAAGAACAGTACTCATAAAGTGGCGGTGGGGAAAAGGAAGATGGCTGCAGTGATGCTAATAGTTTGTAGTCCAGGGGAGAAGGAGTATATATATCCTTTATCACTCCCGTCCCTCCCTGAGACAGTGATTGGTAGCATAACAGTCCCAGGTGGTAAAGAAGCCTGATGGCACTTGGAAAATAACTGCTCTGTAGGGTGAATGCAGTGGTGCCTTCTTTGCATGCAGCAGTTCCCATGGTGCATGAATTGGATGAAAGTAACTCAGACACTCACCCCACCAAAGTGGGGGCATATTTGGTACAAAGTAGTGCTTTGTGCACTGGTCCCTTATCCCATGAGCTCCAAAAGATCCTAGGGCAGGTGCAGTGTGCTCCAAAAGATCCTAGAGCAGGTGCAGTGTGCACCAAAAGATCCTAGGGCAGATGCAGTGTGCACCTGAGCAAACAGCACACCCTGCTGATACGTGTGAGCGGACAGCCATCGTCCTTCAAGGAAGGAAAAGCCCTGTTGGGCACCAGTGCTTGGTTCACTGACCAGTCCAGCTGAGTCCCATAGACCATTGCACTGCCATTGCTCTACGGACACCTTATGGTGTGATGCTGGGCTGGGGCAAAGTCCCTGCCATAAGTGCTGGAAATAGTGGGGGTCCTGACACGAAGGCAAGAATTTTACTTCCATGCACAGATGTTTTTAAAAGCAGTGTCCATCACTTTTAAAGTTTTTCTTTGGTAGGAAAAAGATGACTTAAAATGGTAACTAGGTTTTTTAGATAGGTTGATTTTCATGAGTAACCCCAAATGAGCAGTTAAAAATAGGACTTTTCGTAGATTTCACTGGGACTCACAATTAAACTACAAGGCAGTGTGGTGCACGATCCTGAGAGGACCTACTACCTTGCTTGAGAGTGTCCTCTTTGCCCTTTTTCATATCTTTATTTATTCATTTTGGTTCTAGGTATTGATCCCTATGGTGCTTCCCCACTGAGCTACAGGCCCACCCTATTTTATATTGTGTTTTGGGACAAAGTCTTGCTGAGTTGCTTCAGGCCTTCCTGTGTTGCTGAGGCTCACTTTGAACTTGTGATCCCTCTGCCTCATCCTCCCAAGCGACTGGGATCAAAATGTATGCCACTGGGCCTGGCTTTTCTATCCCTTTTCATAAACTTTGCTATTTTAGTAAGTGCCACGTCTTGCCTGGAGGTCTCTCAAGGGAGAACATACTAGGGTCATGGAAGGGAACCTCCAAAAATGCCTCCCTCTGTTGCCATAAGTATTCTTCTTACAGCACAGCCACCCCTGATGCTTGCCTTCCACCTGAGTAAGTAGGAAGCCAGCCAAGGGTGGTCACATGCCAAATGTTTGCAGGGACAGCCACTCCCATCTGCCAACATTGCAAAAGTAAAAAACACTGCTATTTTCTCAGCTGCAAAAATCCCTTCAGCATACATAACTTCTGTCTGCAGATGCCCATTTAACCAATGCTAACATCACCCCTTCCCCTTGGCTGAGTTCTTATCAGCTATCCATCCAATGGGACATCTAGGCCAGAGGAGTAGGCAATTATGCCCCCATAAAGAAGTCACATTCTGAAAGCCATGTTTTGTCTCAGTGAAGGTGGAAACAGGGGGATTAATAACCCCTGGGGACAGGCCAGAAAGAAGGTGCTAAGGTTGGGGCAGCTGCTTCTACAAATGGCTTGAAACAGCCTTTGCATGTAGGAAAAAAATGAAAATATAAAGGACCCCCTTCACCTCTGCCACCACTCTGGGTGACACTGAATCACTTCAATCCCTGTGCCCCTGCTGGGCTGCAGCAAAGGGAGCAACCCAGGATGTGTATGGTTAATGCCCATACGGGCAGCAGAGGCTGGTCTAGTCCAACAGCAGCGCCACCTACCTCTCACATAAGGGCCTGAATCCTGGAGTCTGCCCCTATGCTAGGGAGGGGGAGCATCCATTTACTCAAGTGGGCACAGGGGCTGTAGGACCCAACCTCAGAGTCCATGTGCCTGGGGTGGCTGCTGGGTGAGTATTGTAGGAAGTGGTCTCAAGGGAGGATATAGGAAGGTAAGTTTGCAAGTGCCTGCCAGTGATCAGCTCGGGGACAGCTGGCAGTTGCGGTCCACAGGAAACCCATGGGAAATGGAAGCCTAGTTCTCACCTGGCCTGCTTTACTAACCAAGTGATAATTTGATGATTATTCTAGCAACTCTTGGGGCCCATGAGAAACTGTGTGCTGTGTCTGGCTGAGATAGGAATTTGGGACACAAAGAAGATTAACTAAGTCTCAAAAGTACAAGGTCCATAAACCACTAGAATACAGGAAATGCCCATGAAGTTTTTTTTTTGTTTTTTTTTTTTTTTTAAATTTTTTTTTTTTTTTTAATATTTATTTTGTAGTTTTCAGTGGATACATCTTTGTTTGTATGTGGTGCTGAGGATCGAACCCGGGCCGCACGCATGCCAGGCGAGCGCGCTACCGCTTGAGCCACATCCCCAGCCCCGCCCATGAAGTTTTGACATTAAAAACAAGCAACTTCTAAGAAAACCAGGATTCTTTTGATGCCACTATCTGTGCTCCCAAAATACTAACATGATACCTGGACAATGAGCAAGCCTAGAAAAATGTGTGAAATCACAATTCTGATTCCACCTCTAGTCCAGCCCTCACCTAATGTCCCTCTATAAATAACACTACCCAGTGGTTTGCTGTATCTCCCTTGGAGGTGTCCTGCATTCTGTGACTGTGTATCTACATTCCTAAATAAATCTGCCCATGTCTCTGATTGATAAGTGCTCAAATTCTGTTCTGCCTTGCATACCAGGTCCCCATGTCTTCTGAATTGATGCTTCTTTCTCTGTGCTACATGTGGGTCCCAGGAAGTGGTCTCAAGAGTCTGTCTTTCTTCGTCCCTCCCTTTCTCAAGTATCCCATTATGTTACCTCATTTAGCAAGATTCATGTTTTACACTGGAATTATGTGTTTTTTATATTCTGGGGGTCGATAACCAGCAACTTAGATTAAATTTAAAAAAAGACAAGGGACCAGGTTTGGTGGCACATGCCTCTAAGCCCAAGTATGTGGGAGGCTGACTAAGAAGAAACCCTTGAGGCCAGTCTCAACATCTTAGCAAGACACTACCTCAAAATTTAAAAACAGGGCTGGCATTGTTGCTGGTTGTGGTCCTGGGGTTTGGGGTTGTGTTGTGGCAGGCTGTTGTAATCTTGAAGAAGAGTATTTCAGATGAGTTGTAAAATGTAGGTGAAGTGTGGCAAAATTCATTAGAAAGCCAGTCAGTATCAGGAGGGGGGAGGGGAAGGGAGACATCACTCTCACCCGCCTTGGCCCCCCAGGCTTCCTGAGTTCTCATGGGGATTCCCACAGTCCCGCCTAAGTCTTAGCTTACAGTAGGATTACATGAGGGTTGCAAGTTCCTCCTGAACATGGTCTTGTCCAGAGGTACTCAGGCAAAATCCATCTGGGGAGTCAGATTTTACTGTAACAAAAACTTATGAAAAAATTAAAATGATCTGCTAATGATCTGATGCAATGCTTGGTCATGTTGGCCCGAGCAGACCAGTTCTAATTACAACTAATTGTTTTGACAGATTTTGTGGTCAGTGGGCTTTTCTTTTAATTATCTTGTTAACTTATCTTCAACTCTTTGGTCATTACCTAGGTGGCAAAGTCCCCTTTCAAGGTAAAGTGTTCTTATTGATGGTAAGAAGTCTGTGGAGGTGCATTCCTTGGCCATGAGAGACTTGCTATAACATAACAGGCCCACTGTGCAGGAATGTAGGTAGTATCCTAATGAGTTTAGACAGCAGTGTCAGAGTGTCTTGGGTATCTCTAAAGGAAGCATGTTTGGGGGGACACAGCATAGTATGTCTACTTCATAGACTTATCTCTTCAAGTTCATCTACCTCGAACTCAGGTGATAGAGTCCTACCCAGCTCCACCTCTTGATTTCTGACTGACATCGGGATTGCATCACACTTTCAAGTTCCAATGGAATTTTTTTTTTTTTTTTATAGTTGCACTAAAGACCCAAAGTGATCCCAGGTCATTTTGGCCCACACTGATTGGTTCTAACTGGAACTTGTTCTTATAGATCTTATAGTTAGGGGGAATTAACCTGTCTCCTCAGGTTCTGGAATCTGGTCTGTGAAAGTG